TGGGCTGCGGGCTGCCTCCGCGTTGTCCTGTTGGGGCGTCCAGGGGACGCGCGGCGGGTCATCGCGCTGGTGCGCCGGAATGCGTGCCCTTTAACGGCCGCGGTCAGGCTCCGGCGAATAGAAAAGACGAGGACTCACGCGTGAACAGCATGGTGAGTGCAGGGTCGCGGTATCGGAGCCAAATCGGGTTCCCTGCGACGATCGCTGAGTGGCCTCCACGGACACTCCTCCCTCGGCCGCTGTCACTTGGCAGTGGGGTCGTTCGAGGGTGCCGTGCTTTCCCCGTTGAAGAGGCACGCGGTTTGTGGCGGTGGACTGGGGGGGTATGATTGTAGTATCATGCTACTTCCCCCCCTCCCCCCCCAGTCTCAGTGATGCGGAGTTTATGCGTGACTTATATGAGTTGGAGGTGAGAGTGCGGGAAGCGAGTGGACGCCCGATTATTATATTAGGGGACTTTAATGCGCGCGCACCCGCTTGGGATCCCGGACAGCCTAATAAAAGGGGGAAACTCGTTTTGGACTGGCTGGGCCTCTTGGATCTGCAAATCCTGAATAGGATCTCGGAGCCGACATGCGTGCATCCGCGCGGTGAGTCATGCGACGACCTGACGCTGGCGTCGACTTCGGCGACTAGGAGGATCACCTCTTGGCGCGTTGGATCGGAGGTGGAGTCGCTCTCGGAACATAAGTACATTATGATTGAAGTGAGTGCTTCTCTGGCTGGGACCGCCACCGGGAGAACTGCTCTTAAGGCCTTTCCCAGGTGGGTTACCGGTAAGGTCGACCGGGACCTCATGGAGGCAGCGGCGGATCTCCTGGCCTGGAGCGGAATTCCGAGTGACGCTGCTTTGGGAGCTAGGGCGATGGACCGAATACTCCACGACATTTCGGCTGTTTCTATGACTAGGAGGGGATTGCGGAAGAGACCCACCACGTACTGGTGGAATGAGGAAATAGCAGAGTTACGCCGTATCTGCAACTTGTGCAGACGACGTCTCACGCGTGCGTGTGCGAGAAGAGGGGCCTCTCGGGAGTCCCTGCGAGAGCCATGGGAAGCCTTGCGAGAGGCTAGACGCCAACTTAGGAGGGCGATTACTCGCTCCCAGGCTAGATTGTGGACTGAGCTGGTGAGCGACCTTGATAGGGACCCGTGGGGGATGCCCTATCGGGTCGTAATCAATAAATTGCGTGCGGGCGGAGCATCGATCGTGGAGGGGCTTCCACCTGAGAGCGTGACGAATATTGTTGGGACCCTCTTTCCGACGAATCGTCCACCATTGGGTAGGGAGTTGCCATTTGTCTGGCAGGATGATCTGGCGGTAACGGCCGAGGAGGTTATGGAGACTGGACTCGGGGTCAAGCCCGGAAAGGCTCCTGGCCCGGACGGTGTCGCGGGGTTTGTAATCAGGGACACTATGAGGTGTCTTGCTCCGACATGGGCTAGATGCTTCACCGGTTGTCTCAGGGGGGGCACTTCCCGCGTGGTTGGAGGGGAGCCAGGCTGGTTCTCGTGAAGAAACCAGGAAAACCGGACTTTTCCCCGTCCTCGTACAGGCCTATCTGTCTGTTAAGCGAGACGGGGAACATTTGT